AATTGAAATCAATTGCTTCCTGTAACCATCAATGAGCTTCTTATACCTCTCTACTGGAACTTTGGACCACTCTTCTTTCGCCAACTGCTGCAGGTCTCTCAGATTGGAAGGGTTCCTTTTCCCAACTGCTGTTTTGAGATCTCTCCATAGGTGCTCTGTGGAATTGAGATGTGGACTGATTGCTTGCCAGTTCCATATTCTCTAGTACTTTGTCATAAACCATTTCTGGGTGCTTTTTGACGTGTTCTTTGGGCCATTGTCCTGATATAAGACCCATGACCTCAGGCGGAGACCCAACTTTCTGACACTGGGCCCTACATTGCACCTCAGAATTCTTCGGTAGTGTTCAAATTTCATAATGCCATGTACACGGTCAAGACATCCAGTGCCTGAAGCAGCAAAGCAACCCCAAAACCTCAGTGAACCTGTGCCATGTTTGACTGTAGGGATTGTGTTCTGAAAATAGTAGAATGATGGTCTTTACCAAAACCTGTAATTTTGTTTCATCTGTCCACAGCACATTCTACCAAAAGGATTTTGGCTTCCTCAGGTAAGTTTTAGCCAACTCCAATCTAGCATTTTTATGTTTCTGTGTCAGCAGTGGAGATCTCCTGGGTCTCCTACCATAGCGTTTTTTCATTCAGATGGCGACGTATAGTGCGAGCTGACACAGTTGTACCCTTTGTTTAGAAGGTCAGCATGAATTTGTCTGGAAGTTGATCTAGGCTCTTTGTCCACCATTCGAACAATCTTTCATTGCAATTTTTGATCAAGTTTTTCTCTTTCGTCAATGTCCAGAGAGGTTGGCTACAGTGCCATGGGCTGTAAATGTCTTGAAAATGTTGCGCACAGTAAACACAGGAACATTAGGATCTATTAATTGATACAGGTGAGTTTAATAACAAATTACAGGAGCATCACAAACTTGCAATTATTTCTTACAATTTTGAGAAGGTGCAAATAATTATGTCCAGTCCATTTTTGGGGTTTTGTGTGGAATGTGTCAGATTTGGCTTTTTCTTTCTCCACTTTTGTGTCACACCAATACAAACAAAAGAAATAAACATGAGAATGCCTAAACATTTGTAATTGCAACAATTTTCTGGGAGAAGTGTGCCTGGTTTCTATTGTCATGTTCAACAATAGCCTACCTAGAGGTCCTCCAAACGACTACAACTTGCCATAAGAATTCACCCTCTAACAGCTTCAATGCAATTATAAGGAAAGTTCAAGTTCACCAAATGGTTTGATGATTTTGACAAATTCTGGGCCCTTGAAAATATGGCAAGTTGACTCAACACTACTTTCTTCCTGTCAGGCTCCCAAAGCAAGGCTAACAACGTTGCAAAGTGCAACACTGGTTGGCAGTGCTGTCCTTTCTCCTCTCCAGCTTTCAGTGCTGCTTTCCATGAAAATACAGGAAGTTTCTGTAAAGACAATAAATATAATGATCTCATACCCTGAATAAAGGGTGACATTTATAAAAAAAAAATAAAACCAAACTACAGATAAACTACATATGGTACGATACTTATGACCATATAAACATTTTCCAGATTTTACACATCTTATATTAATTGTGTCAACTAACTTATCAAAAATCAATGCTTTAAGATCACCTCTTAAATTACTACATAGGTTCTGAAGACCAATATGTTAAGGCCAGGTAGAGATTAAGGGTCCCACTAGCCCGCATGCTGCATGTTGCTTGTGGGTATCAATGTGATTCCTGCACCCACAGCCATATCACGTTTCTCTTGTGAGATGTGAGGAGTGCTATTCAATCTGAATCATCTCATCCTGCCCCCGCGATCGTGGTATAGCATTAATAGAGCATGCTAATGTGAAGCAGGGGCTAAAGCAGAACTCGCTTGTTTGTGACTTCAGTGATGGCAAATCAAAGCTGTTTGTCCTCCAGTACACAACCTTCTTCCCCACATCTTCCAACTTTCCTGTTCTCCTGTTTGGCAGCTACTTCCAGTGTAACTCATGTTCATGGATGCAAGCTTCACAACGTAGATTGTCCCAGCCACCTGGATGCATTTCCAGCATCTTACAGGGTGTACACCATAGTGTGCATGCTCCACTGCCGGAGTACACCATTTTAAAAATTGCTACAAAGAAGGGGAAGGTGTTGTTTAGTGAAAGAAAATGCAGTCTCTTCTGCTATTAAAAAAAAAAAAAAAAGCTCCACTTTAAATCCTATAATGAAGCAATTGTAAATGTGTAAATGATAGCATCTATATAATTTATACATGGATCACTTTTTTTTAACTGAAGGGAGGTGTGGAAAATTGCACATTTTACTTTTTGATTAAAACTATTGAGCTCACTTTCTTTGAATTATTCTGTTTTTGTATGTATTATTCTTCTTATTCTTTACTTTACATCTTGCTCATTTACCATAAATATTTTCCAATCAGATATGTCATAGTCTCTTCCTTCGTGGTTTGTCTTTGGTTGGATGGTACCATAGTCACCCCTTTAGTCCTGCTCTGCCATCACTACAGGACATTGAAGCTCAAATGGATTATCAACTCAAACTGCAGGGTTCAGACAATAGCTTCCAACCATGTTTGGTGTGATATGTGGTGAGATTTTTTTTTTTTTTTTTGCTTTTGATGTTTATTGCTTGCATTTGTTACCTAGTACAATCTAATCAGTAAGTTTTTTGTGTTAGGACCATATTTCCATGGGAACCAGGGAGTTCAATCTACAATATCTCCCTTCTGGGTTATACCTCCAGCTGAGGTTAGAAAAGCATACAATTGTTTGGAATAAGGGTTCTGCGTGTTAATACTTTTAAAATTAATTTTATATATTGCATCCTTTCCTTACAGCACCGCCCAAATGATTATGGAATGCCCATGGAAGTGGATGTAACATACATGCAGGACAGCTTCTTAACCAGTGATATCTTGCATGACATGGTAAATACATATATGTTTATATTGACACAACCACAATTTCTTTACTTCAGAATTATTTATTAATGGGTTTTCACAAAAACTTTATTTTTATTTTTTTTTTATAAACTATATCAGCTTGATGTAAATGAGAATATCTTTATGTTAATGCTTTTTGTTTCTTTGTTTGTAATGACGCATGTACATGGGGATTTCCATATATACTCCTACATATGAAGGCTCTACTCTCTATTGTATAGTAGTAAACAGTAGTTCCAATTTACTGCTCCTTTTCAGAATGAAAGTCAAGGGTGTTCACTTGCGAAAGCAGTGGGGAATCTTCTATTAGCATTATAAATGTTTATTTTACAAAATGACTATTCAGTTAGCTTAACCGCTTCCGCGCCGCCCTATAGCAGAAATACTGCTACAGGGCGGTACAGGTACGCAAAATCATGTGTATATATGTGATTCGCACTCCCGCTGTTTTTTTGCGGGCTGGGGGGGAAACGCACACCCACGCCGGCCCACGGGTGCCGTGATTTGATCCCCCGAGGAAGCAATCATCTGATTTAGGCCAGTGACGGTCGGCCTAAGTGGGATGATCGATCCCTCTCCTATCAGGGATCTCCCTGTACCTGTGTTTACAGTGAGTAAAACAGCAGATTTTTACAGCTTTAGAACACTCCACTTTAGGACACATTTAACCCCTTGATCCCCCCCCCCCTTTTTCCCCACAGTTAACCCCTTCACTGCCCTTTCACCAGTGTCATTAGTACAGTGTACAGATTGCTTTGCTGATCACTATATTAGTGTCACTGGCGACTTCAGATAGTGTTAGAGCCAGTTTGCGCCCCTTCCAGATAGCGTCAGATTGCCCGTTAGTACACCAGTAATCACATTTAACCCCTTGATTGCCAGGAACACGCTCACATACACAATAAACCTCCATTGGTGGTATAGTGTCTGAAACGATCAATATCTTTGATCAGATCAACACTATACCAGCGTTCACATTAGTATAGTGTCCCCAAAAATGCAGCGTTAGTGGGATTAGCCCCGGCACCTGCCAGCACCTGTGTTTAGCCCCTACGCTTACCCCCCCCTTCTCCCCCAGCAAGTGCAGTGTCAATAGGCCACTGTCACTTGATACATTGCACACAAAACCGCAGTGTTCGCAGAATCAGGTCTGATCTCTGTTAGCACTTGCCTGTAAATTTTTTTTGTAGTGGTTCAAGCTATCCCTGAGAGCCAGGTGCGCTTTCTCCCATGAGTCGCACTACGTACCTATAAATTTAGTGGCCAAAATGTTCAACGAAAGATACTCTAGTGAAGAGGCCTACAGGACTCTGAGCATGTCAGGTGAGAGAGAAGGGGAAGACTCCCTGAAACAATCAGCCTCAGAATACAAACCTGATGACAGCAGTGGCACCCTGACAGATAGCTCAGACAATGGAGAAGAGGTCCCTGTTAAGATCAGGCATACCTGACCCCGTTCCCAGGTTTCTGAGATGTTCCAAACGCATGATGACTCTCATATGCAGCAGAGTGCCAGTACTAGTGCCGCTCTACCTTTTGGTGAACTGGCAAGCACCAGTGGTCTAGTACATCCTGGTCTTTCACAAACCAGCACTGCAGTATCACTTGGTGATGTGGCGAGACCCATAAGTGCAGTACAAGCGGTGGTGAGCACAAATAGTGTCCTGCAGCCACCAAGAATTCGCACACAGGCCCATAGAGCTCCTAGTATCCTTCCGGATGTGCTTGCAAATCCCGATTGGCAGCCCACAAATTCTGCAGCATCTGTACTTCCCCCATTCGCTGCCCAACCCGGAATTCAGGTGGAAACAGCAAATTTAAACACTCACCTTGATTTTGTGGAGCTGTTTTTCACAGAAAATCTGTATGCATTGATTGTGGATCAAAGCAATTTACCGTATTTTTCGCTCCATAAGACGCACTTTTTTCCCCCCAAAAAAGGGGGGAAAATGTCAGTGCGTCTTATGGAGCGAATATGGAGCGGCCGGTCCGGTATTTCCACCGCCACCGTGTCAGAATACCGGGCCGGCCGCTCAGCTCAGCAGCAGGACCTTACCTGTTCCTCGGTCCAGCGCTGCGCAGTCTTCCTGCGCCGGCTTCTTTAGTGTGGGGTCTCGGCTTGACAGCCGTGTGCCCAGTATGCATGCGTGAGTAGCGCTGCACTTTGTGAATGGTACGGCATCTTCTGGGACACATGACAGGTCCCCGAAGACGGCGGACCAATCACAAAGCTCAGCGCTTCTCGTGCATGCGCACTGGGCACCCGGCTGTCAACCGTGTGCCCACATTAAAGGGAGGACAACTCTGCGGAAGTGGGAGCAGGTACCTGTCAAATTCAGGTACCCACTCCCATTCCCTCCCCAAAGGTCAGCAGTCATCTCCTGCACTGTCCGCAGTCTCTGGTCATCTCCTGTACTATGTCCGCAGTATCTGGTCATCTCCTGTACTATGTCCGCAGTCTCTGGTCATCTCCTGTACTATGTCCGCAGTCTCTGGTCATCTCCTGTACTATGTCCACAGTCTCTGGTCATCCACTGCACTGTCCGCAGTCTCTGGTCATCCCCTGCACTGTCCGCAGTCTCTTGGTCATCCCCTGCACTGTCCGCAGTCTCTGGTCATCTCCTGTACTGGGTCCGCAGTCTCTAGTCATTTCCTGTACTGTGTCCGCAGTCTCTGGTCATTTCCTGTACTGTGTCCGCAGTGTCTGGTCATCTCCTGTACTGTGTCCGTAGTCTCTGGTCATCTCGTCTGCAGTCAATTGGTTCAGAATATTTTTTATCTTGTTTTCTGGCTCTAAAACCTAGGTGCGTCTTATGGTCAGGTGCGTCTTATGAAGCTAAAAATACGGTATATGCACAACAGTTTATTGCCGCCAACCCAAATTTAAACCTTGCCAGACCATTTGCATTGAAACCCATTACGGTTTCTGAATGTAATGTTTTTTTGGGCCTAACCCTCAACATGGGCATTACTAAAAAAAAATTAATTGCGGTTGTATTGGTCCACAGACCCAATTCCTTATATCCCCGTGTTCTCTGCTGCCATGGCCAGGCATAGATATGAGAGTAAAATGCATTTCAATGACAACACACTCTGTCGTCCACAGGGTGACCCTGAATTTGACCAGCTCCACAGAATTCGGCCCCTCGTAAATCACCTTAACAAAAAATTTGCAGATGTCTATACTCCCCAGCAAAATATCTGCGTTGAGGATTCACTCAATTTTTCTGGTCGCCTTGCATTCAAACCTTTTCTCCCCAGCAAGCGTGCCAGATATGGGGTCAAGATGTATAAGACCTGTGTGAGGGTCACAGGCTATACATATAAATTTTGGATTTACTAGGGAAAAGATAGTCACTTGGAGCCTCCTGGATGCCCAGACTACATGGGGAGCTTTGGCAAGATAGTTTGGGACTTGGTGTCATCCTTTTTTCCATATGAGGTACCACTTATAGACAATTTTTATTCAAGCGTGCAACTATTTAGACATTTGTACCATCTTGGAATTGGCACATGTGGCACCGTGTGACCTAATCGCCGGGGCTTCCCCCAGTAGCTTGTAAATACCCGTCTTAGAAAGGGGGAAAAAGCCTGCATGAGAAATTAGGAATTGCTCGAAGTGAAGTGGAAGGATAAATGGGATGTTTTTGTCCTGTCTTCCATTCATGCAAACACAACCATCCAAATTGCCACGGCAGCTGGTGTTGTTGAGAAGCCCCTCTGTATCCATGACTATAACCTTAACATGGGAGGGGTGGACGTCAATGGCCAGTTGATGAAGCCGTACTTAGTTTCCTGAAAAGCCAGATGCTGGTACAAAAAAGTGTCTGCTTATTTAATTCAATTGGCATTATATATTGCTTTTGTGCTTTACAAAGCAACTGGACGAAGTGGATCCTTCCTAAAATTCCAGGCAGAGATCATCACGGTCCTTTTGTATCCAGATGGTGCTGTGGCCCAAACCCCCAACCCAAATGCAGTTAGCCGGCTGCATGAGAGGAATTTCCCGATGCCATTCCTAGTACCCCAACCCAAAGGACATCCCAAAAAAGATGTGTCTGTAGCAGACATTGAATTAGGCGTGACACCTGCTTTGTTTGTCCCTTCTGTCCTGGCCAACCTGGTCTCTGCCTCAAGGACTGCTTCCGTCGCTACCACACACTAGTGGAGTGTTAGTATAGGGTACAGCACGACACAGCTCAGGGCACATATTTACACAGGCTCTCGAAAGATGTTAGGTAGTCAGGAAACTGGCTATCGCATTAGGAGAGACCCTACAATCTGTTTTAAAAAGTTTAAAGTTTAAAAAAAAAAAAAAAAAAAGTAAAAAATAAAAAGTACAAATCCCCCCCAAAATGTAAAATTTTAAAAACCAAAAATAGTTATAGTTTTTTTTGTTGTTACTGTTCTGCTGTTACAATTTTTACTGTTTGTTACTGTTTTATTGTTGACCATTGCTGTTTTCTTTGCAGGAATGCCATTCAGCTGCAGCAACGACCTGTTTATTCTGACAGCAACAGGAACTTGCTCTCAGAATATACATAAGTCAGTGTGGGCAGCGCTGTTGGATGAGATTTTTCATCCGCAGTTAAAAAAGAGCATATATGCCGAAGCATGGGGGCCTGGGGTGGCCAGTGGGTGGATGGCCGCTATGCTTTGGTATATATGTTTTTATAATATTTTTTGGCACATTTCATGTGTGTCCATCATTAGAAGTGGGTGGATGCAGGACGGTATATTCTAATGGTGGGCATACCACACACTTTTTCTGGCAGAGACTTCTTCTCTTTTTCATTCAGCCCACAGGCTGTTTAAAAAAAAAAAAAACATAGCATATACACCCAGCAAGGACCAGTGATGTACTGGTACATCACCAGAATTTGAGTGGTTATACCAGGATGATCAGCCTGGTATTGGTTTTTTTTTTCAGCTGATGATTCAGAGGATCAGCTTTCATGTAAAAGCAATCCGCGCCATCGTGGAAACCTGAGAATGCAGCCAGTGTTTCTGCCAGCTGACCATAGAGCTGATTGAAGATGGGAATGGTACCAATCATCTCTATAATCTAAGAAATCGGAAGCTGTGAGCATTTCATCACTTTAGTTTTGCAGGATATAAACAGCGCCATTTGTAAATTGGGAAAGCATCTGATCACACCGCTGCCCTTGTGTGAGCGTTGACCCGTGCTAGTATGTAAACAGCAGTTGCACCATGCATGTCAGGTATTGCCGTGAACATCAGATCAAGGGCAGTAATTCTAGCACTAGACCTCCTCTGTAAATCTAAAATGGTAGCTTTTACAAGGCTTTTAAAACGTTGCCTATGGATATTAAAAATGTATGCGGTTTGCCGCCATTGCACGGGACATGTATGACAGTATGTCATGTTTGGTATCTTTTTACTCGGCATACCATCATATTTTATATTTTAACAAATAATTGGCAAATATACTGTGTTTTAGTGCATTATAAGTAAAAGAAGTGTATTTTTTTTCAAAAACGGCATTTGAAAAATTGCTGCACGAGTACTATGTGACATAAATTGCAGTACCCACCATTTTATTCACTAGGGTGTCTGCTTTAAAAAAAATATATACTGTTTAGGGGTTCAAAATAATTTCCTGGCAAAAAATACTGATTTTTTTTTTTCATGTGAACAAATAAGTGTCCTTAGGTGGTTAGAAGATTGAGTGATGTGTGGCATAAACTTCTAATGCTGGGCATAAAATGCCCCCTCTCCCCAAAATGCCCCCTTTTTGGAAAGTAGACACCTCAAACTATTTGTTGAGAGGCATGTTGAGTCAACAGAGGAATTTATTTTTTTTACCACAAGTTTTTGGAAAGTTTTTTTTTACACAAAATTGTCACTTAAATTATTTATTGCTCACACATGCCATGGGTATATGTGGAATTACTCCCCAAAATACATTCTGCTACTTCTCCTGAGTATGGGGATACCACATGTGAGAGACTTTTTGGCAGTCTAGCCAAGTACAGGACCCCAAAATCCAATAGGCACCTTCAGGCTGACTACCTATCACAGTTTCGGAGGCCCTGAAATGCTAGGATAGCACCAAACGTTTTGGAAAGTATACACCCCTAGGAATTTGATAAGAAGAATGGTGAGTATTTTGGAGATCTTGTCTGTTGCCACAAGTGTTTTGAAAATGAAGAAAGAAAACAAAAATATATTGTTTCTTTTCTTTTTTATATTTCCAAACCTTGTGAGCAAAAATGGTAAGATCTGAAAAATACTCACCATGCTTCTTTCCAAAAAGGGGTCATTTGGGGGGGGGGGGGGGGTTGGTGCTATCCTGGCATTTTAGGTCATTCGAAACTGTGATAGGTAGTGAGGAAGTAAAATGAGGAAGTTACGCACCTTCAGGCTTTCAAAGTGGTCATTGGATTTCAGGCTCCTGTATGTGGCTAGGCTCCCAAAACACACATGTGGTGTCCCCATACTCAGTAGAAGTAGCAGAATTTATTTTGGGGTGTAATTCCACATATATCCATGGCTTTGTGTGAGCAGTATATCATTTAAGTGACAACTTTGTGTAAACAAAAAAAAAATGGTCTTGTCATTTTCCAAATACTTGTGCAAAAAAAAAAAAAATCTTCCATGGACTCAATTTTCCTCTCAGCAGATAGCTTAAGGTGTCTACTTTCTGAAAAGGGGTCATTTGGGGTGTTTGTATTGTCCTGGTATTTTAGCACCTCAAGAAATGTGATAGGCAGTCAGAAAGTAAAAGCTGTCTAAATTCCATTATCTATACCATAGTTTGTAGATGCTATAACTTTCACACAAAGCAATCAATATACACATATTGGGATTTTTTTTTTTTTTTACTGAAAAAACATGTAGCAGAATACATTTTGCCCTAAATTTATGACATTTGAATTTTTGGACTTTTCTTTTTTTTTTTTTACAGAAATTAAAAAATCTTTTTTTTCAAAATTTGCAGTCTTTTTTTGTTTATAAAAAGTGCACAGGTGATCAAATACCACCAAAATAAATCTCTATTTGTGTAAAAAAAAGGACATACAGTTCATTTATGTACAGTATTGCATGACCGTGCAATTGTTAGTTAAACTAGTGCAGCGCTATATAGCAAAAAATGGTGTAAATTGCAGTATCTATACCCTAGTTTGTAGCTGCTATAACTTTCACCAAAGCAATCAATATACACTTATTGGGATATTATTTTTTTATCAAAAACATGTAGCTGAATACATTTTGGCCTAAATTTATGACTAACTTTGAGTTTACTAAATATTTTTTATATCCGAAAGTAAAAAATATTTTTTTTTAATTTTATAGCACAAAAAATAAAAAGTGCACAGGTGATCAAATACCACCAAAAGAAAGCTCTATTTATGTGAAAAAATGGATGTAAATTTTGTTTGGGTACAGCATTGCATGGTTGCGCAATTGCCAGTTGAAATAGTGTAGCACCAAATAGAAAAAAAAGGCCTGGCCAGGAAGGGGGGTAAGTACCCATAAAACATCATAGGATCACAGCACCAGGGCATGCTAGAGGCTAAAAATACCACAGTAAACCACAAAAAACAACTCCCCAAAAGATGCTTTTTTTGAAGATAAACACATCATAAAACCTAACTCATAAATCATCTAAAAACAACAGATACCCATCTATACACAGGAGCATCTCTTTAATGTCATAGAAACCTCATTTATTAAAAAAAAAAAAAAAAAAAAGAAAACACAACAGCAGTGCACAACATTTTTTAGTGTGAACCAGAGCTGGGTCTTGTATTAGCTACACATATTTAAATAATAATCTATTATCAATAATGCAACCCCCAAATAAATAATGCCTGCTAATAGGAGTGAATAAAGTCTAACAATCCTAACAGACACACATGGGGGAGGTGTAGGGTAATGGTAAAATAAGGAGAGTAAAAGTTAGACCCTAGAGATAATAGTGTATAGGAGAGAGGCTCTGAAGGAGTTCCATAGAAATCCAGGCCAAAAGTCCAAGTCAGGAGTGGAAATCACAGCAAACTCTAACGCAGCAAATTGGTCAAGAAGGTCTTGAGCAGCTTATAGCACCTTACACCCAATACTGACATTGGAGAGTCAGACAAGCAAGAAGGAATAGCAGCTGGGAAATTTGAATAGCGCATACCGCCACCAAGCAATGGAAGGTAAACTTCCAGATGACATAAGTACAGGATGGAGAGAAGTTTGAAAAAGTCCTGTTCAAGATAAGAAAAAAAGAAAACATCATAGGAAGAGGCCAGAACAGTCTAACAATAATACAATTAAGGCTGGACAAGGAAAAATCCATGTGTGAAGTTTTGGGGCGGTCTAAAGGAACTGACAAACTACACTGAGACCCCACAAAATTAATGGGAAAAGTACAGGAAGAACAAATGCAAGAAACACCTGTATAAAAGCCCCCTCCCCTCCAAAAAGTGAGAGGAAAGTGGCTACTGAAAGGAACTAAGACCAAAACTAGACCCTTGATGATCCCAAAGGCCCAACACTGATCTAAACCAAACTGGTGAAACCAGATTCATCCTACAGAGTACAACCTGGGCAGAAAACCTGGTTCCACACCAAGCAAACACCATCAAATAGTGAGGGTAGACTTTAAAAAGTCAGTCCCTGAGTCACAAAAGCATAGGCTGTGATAACCTGAACCCACAGATTCACCAGAGCACCTTCTGTGAAGACTAGGGATGCCTGGGACTGGAGACAATTCAATGTAGTTCAAGGCAGAAACAGGAGGCTAGAAGGACCACATCCAACCCTACCCATGACAGAGGTTCTAAGTACCCAGGGTGAGACCAGCCTCAGAGTCCAGACAAGAGCAATCGACATTGAAGACTGAAGAAGTCCATCTGCCTTGCCTGGGAAGAACACAACAGTGGTCAGGACTAGAGTGAGAAGTCCTTCCCAGATCTGAAACAGTTCTGCTTCCTTGTAAATGTTTTTCCAGGAACAAAAAATCCAGCATCATTTCCCTTGTCAGTGTTCAAAGTTTCCAAAACTATCACCTTCGGAATGTGGAGTACAGGGATATGTCAGCAAGGCATCACATATTGGTTTAAAGGGCAAAACCTGGGCCACAGTGTGGTAAGTAAGCAAATAAAAGGATATACAAATATTTTCATGTGTACTTATCCAGGTTTAATATACTTCCTAGAGATGTTACGACAACTGTTCAGTCCCAGTAATCTACTTACATGCACAAGGATTGACCATTTCTAGATTAAACAGGAGAAAAAGAAGGGGGCAGGAGTGGTGAAATAAAGCGGTGGAAACAGAATAAATGTATCCTGGCCAAGACCCTGCTCCATCCAACTCTCAGTAATCTGATGAATTGGGGGGTTGTATATAATACACATGGATCCCAGACCCTCTCACCTTTGCCTGTATATCCTGCAGGGTGCTTGTTATTTTCTACTTAAGTAGAATAGACAAGTAGATAGATAGATAATACTTTATTGTCATTGTAAACATACAACAGAATTTATCAAGGTACTCTTTACAAGAGCAATTAAAAAAAAAAACATTTCTCAACACAACCACAAATACATACTCCTAACACATATATCTGTCCTTAAATGATTGTTAAGCATAATTTAAGAAATTCTGTGTTTTGTGGCTAAAATGTCAACTACTCAAGACTTCTAAGCCATTGTGATTGATAGTTATGCAGCCAGAGAAATGTAAAAGATGAGCGCCTGAGAGTGTCTAGGGAATTCATCCACTGACTCATTTAAAAGGGCCATGCATGCATTCTTGGGGATAATAGTCATGGTGGCAGAATCGATTAGTGTTTGAATTATCATCCAAAATAGTCTAATTTTAGGGCAAGTCCACCAGTTTTGGAACATTGTGCTCATTTGTCCACATCCTCTGAAACATAGAGGGGTGGTCTCCAGATATATTTTGGCAAGCCTCGTTGGCACTAGGCACCAATAGGAGAGGACTTTATAACTAGCCTCTATTAGTAACATGTTCAAAATAACTTTATGTATCCTGGTGGTCCAGGAATTCCAGTCTACCTTGTCAATTTTGGAGCCCAGGTCTGTCTCCCAGAGAAATCTCTGAGTCAATAGCATAGAGACCACAGAGAACAACTGACACAGCATCTGAATGCCACCCTTCTGAGTCCCACCCTGCATACAACTGTTTTCAAAAACTGTTCTCGTGGTAATGCAATTTGTTCCATTTTTGATCGTATGAAGAAAGCCTAGAATTTGGCCTACTGGAACATTTCAGGAGGGAGGTACCTCAAGCTGTTAGAGGAAATAATCTGGGTGTAGAATGCCCCTGTGGTCAAAAAGCTGTCAATGCAGTATCACAGTAAAAGTTGGAAATGCAGTATCGCTGGGGTTATAAACCCAATAGAAGTGCCCAGTTTCTAAACAAAACACTAGTGTGTATGGATTTAAAGGCTAATGACTTACAGGAGACGTTCCACAGATATCATGAATGGGATAATGTGGGACAGAAAGGTGCCCTGCAGCTTTTGAAAAGCTTTTAAAAGGCATTCCGTATTGGGCCACGTGGTAATTTTCAGGTGGTTCAGGACCCCAGTCTGCCTCAGGCTTTAGGCACATATAGCATATTACCTGGAAACCTACACCCCCTGGGACCCCAGATAAGTTTCTATATGAGATTGAAAGCTTTCTAGGTCAGTGGTCAAGATGTCAAAAATCAATTTTCAAAAGGAATACAAGACTTTCAGTTACCATTTCAACCTTTCAAGGCCATGCCGCCCCTCCACAAGAGGAAATAAGTGGATCTGGTCAACGTGCATATATTGGTCAATACAACAATTAAGTCCATTGACAAAGATTTTAGTGAGTAACTTTAAATCACAGGTAATTAATGAAACTGACCTACTGTTGGTGACATTTCCAGGGTAGTTGTTGGATTTGGGGGATCATGCAAAAGTGGGCCCTATGAGATTCTCTTTAAGTAAGCTACCACTGTGACATAGTCTGATGGAATTACACAGTGTCTGACCCTTTGCAGACAAGAGGTCCAGCATGGAAGGGATAAAAGAAATACCTTTACTTGAGTTTTCTCCAATGACCACGCCCTTTGTACCGAAAAGGCACCTAGCAGTTGAAGTTTGTAGCATAAGACATTGAGAGACAGGGTCTCTGTCTGCATCCAGCTCTGAAATCCAACAACAGGCAGTAGGCATCCCACATGCACTACAGAGGTCAGAGGGTGCCCTGGAGGGAACCAGCCTGTCAGATGCCATGTGGGCCTTTGCATCTAACAAAAACAGTATGGAGTGGAACCCCCTTTGTCATGGTCCCAGGAAGAGAAGCTGTGTTCCAGCAGTGTAAAGGTCCATCAAACCAACCAAGGACCAATGTCTGAAAGTCCCGAGATTAGAATTGGAATAGGCCTACTAAGGACTCGGGTTGGCCTATTACAGCAGGTACACCTCCACATGTAGTTTCTGGAGGCAAAAAAATCGATTGCAATGTACACTATATTGCCAAAATATGGCGATGCCTGCTTTTACAAGCACATGAACTTTATTGGCACCCCAGTCTTAGTCCGTAGAGTTCAATACTGAGTTGGCCCAACCTTTGCAGCTATAACAGCTTCAACTCTTCTAGGAAGGCTGTCCACAAGGTTTAGGAGTGTGTCTATGCGAATGTTTGACCATTCTTCCAGAAGCGCATTTGTGAGGTCAGGCACTGATGTCAGCCTGGCTCTCAGTCTCCACTCTAATTCGTCCCAACGGTGTTCTATCCGGTTGAGGTCAGGACTCTGTGCAGGACAGTCAAGTTCCAAAACCCCAAACTCGCACATCCATGTCTTTATGGACAATGCTTTGTGCACTGGTGCTCAGTCAGTCATGTTGGAACAGGAAGAGGCCATCCTCAACCTGTTCTCACAAAGTTGGGAGCATGAAATTGTCCAAAATGTCTTGGTCTGCTGATGCCTTCAGAATTCTCTTCACTGGAAAAACAACCCCACGCCATAACCCCCCCCTCCACAAAACTTTACACTTGGCATAATGCAGTCAGGCAAGTACCGTTCTCCTGGCACCACAAATCCAGACATATCCATCGGATTGCCAGACAGAGAAGCGTGATGTCACTCCAGAAAACACGTCTCCACTGCTCTAGAGTCCAGGGGCAGTGTGCTTTACACCACTGCATGCTTTGCATTGCACTTGGTGATGTAAGGCTTGGATGCAGCTGCTCGGCCATGGAAACCCATGCCATGAAGCCCTCTACGCACTGTTGTGCTAATCTGAAGGCCACACAAAGCTTGTAGGTCTTTAGTTAATGACTCTGCAGACAGTTGTCGACTTTTGCGCATGCTTCAGCATGCACTGACTCCGCTCTATCATTTTATGTGGCCTACCACTTCGTGGCTGAGTTGCTGTTGTTCTCAGTGGCTTCCACTTTGTTACAATACCACTAACAATTGACCATGGAATATTTAGGAGCAAGGAAATTTCACAGATGGACTTAGTGCACAGGTGGCTACCTATCACGGTACAACGCTTGAATTTACTGAACTCCTGAGAATGACCCATTCTTTCACAAATGTTTGTAGAAAGCAGTATGTATGCCTAGGTGCTTGATTCTATGCACCTGTGGCCATGGAGGTGTTTGGAACACCTGAATCCAAAGATTTGGAGGGGTGTCCCAATTCTTTCGGCAATATAGTGTATGTGATCAGAGTTTACCCACATGGTAAGAGGTCATGTAAACAAATGATCAACAGCATATATATATATCTTGGGGGTTTTGTATCTCATTAGGAGTGCAAATCAGTGAGTTTACGCCAGAGGTGTCTTTTTAGGGCTTTTTCTGCCCACTTTTATTTAAAATGGCAAAGAAAAGTGCCACACAAGACATCAGTTGCCCATGTTGGGGTTTCCACCATCACTCCAAACCCTGGCTCAGACTGCAATTTTACACAGTCTCACTCTGCCACATATTCCCCCACCCTTGTTTCGCACCAGAGGGAGAAACACACCACTCTTTCACCCTGGCACCACTGTGCCAACTACCACTTACAGGGCTCCTAACCTGTCTGACTTTTTTTCCAGGCCTGCTTCCACATGCACTTATTTCTAAACCTTGGGTTCCCACTGGTCTCTCTACCACCCATTTTACCTTCTGGCCTTGGGTTCCTGTATTTATTTTTACCTCTCCCAGAACTGTAGGGGGCTACTTATGTGGCATCTGTCAGAGAGCCACCCCTCTTACTACTTATCTTATCCTCAGCCACCACCATCTTCTTTTCAGGTTCACTAATACCTGTGTGGTTACCCTTGGCAAAAAAAATCTGAGATTAACACCACATTGTTTTGTGTATCATCAGTAGCCACCTTCCTAGTTGCTGGAGAGTGTGATGAGGCTGAAGTATTATGGGTGGAACTACACATGGGGGTGCGTACTACAAAGGTAATCATTGGAGTTTGTTATAAGCCTCCCAGTGTTGAGGAGGTAGAAACTCAGCTCCTTGCACAGATTGAAAGGGCTGCAATGGCTGGGACAGTGATAATAATGGGGGATTTTAACTACCTGGAAATTGACTGGAGTGATGGTACTGCAGGAAAAGTTAAAAGGAAAAATTTGTTAAACCCACTACAGGACAATTTTATGGTACGGTTCAAAGAGGCCCCTACTAGGAATGATGCTCTGCTGGACCTGGTAATCTCAAACCATGCAGAGTTTATTATGAATGTCCATATAAAAGAACATCTTGGTAGTAGTGACCATAAGATGATTTCATTTTTTGTTAGCTGTAAACAGCAAGCACATACGGGAAAAATTAAAACGCTCAATTTCAAGAGAGCTACAGTTAGGTCCATATATATTTGGACACAGACACAATGTTGATTTTTTTCAGGTATTTACCAAAACATATTCAAGCTATAGTTATAAAATGGATATGGGCTGAGAGTGCACACTCTCAGGTTTAATTTGAGGGTATGTACATCCAAATTGGAGGAAGGGTTTATGAACTACAGCTCATAAAATTAGCCATCCCCCCCTTTTTCAAGGGAACAAAAGTAATTGGACAAACGAATATAATCATAAAATGTTAATTTTTAATATTTTGTTGAGAATCCTTTAATGGCAATGACTGCCTGAAGTCAGGAACCCATGGAGATTACCAAAGACTGGGTATCCACCTTTCTGATCTTATGCCAGACTCTAACTGCAGCTGTCTTCAGTTGTTATTTGTTTGTGGGCCTTTCTGCCTCTAGTTTTGCCTTCAGCAAGTGAAATGTATGTTAGATTGGGTTGAGATCAAGTGATTGACTTGGCCATTGCAGAATATTCCACTTCTTTGCCTTCAAAAGCTCCTGGGTTGCTTTTGCAGTGTGTTTTGGAACATTGTCCATCTGTAATGACAATCAACTTTACTGCATTTTGGCTGAAACTGGGCTGTCAGTATATCTCTTCTGTCTTCTGTCACATCATCAATAAATACCAATGACCCAGTGCCACTGGAAGCCATGCATGCCCATGCCATCACACTGCCTCTACCATGTTTTATAGATGACATTGTGTGCTTTGGATCATGAGCTGTTCCAAACCTTCTCCACATATTTGTCTTCCCGTCATTCTGGTACAGATTCATCTTAGTTTCATCCATCCAAAGAATGCTTTTTCAGAACTGGTCTGGTGTTTTTAGATGTTTTTTGGCAAAGTGTCCTTGCAGATGACACCAAGCTGTGCAGTGGAATCAACTTACAAGCTGACCTCAATGCACTGTTTAACTGAGCAACTATGTGGCAAATGAGGTTTAATGTTGATAAATGTAAGGTTATGCACTTGGGGGTTAATAATATGCATGCATCATACATACTAGGGGGAGTACAACCGGGGGAATCAATGGTGGAGAAGGATCTGGGAGTTCTGGTAGATCACAAGCTTAATAATGGCATGCAATGCCAAGCTGCGGATTCTAAAGCGAGCAAAATCTTCTCTCGTATTAAAAGAGGTATAGACTCCAGAGAAAGAGATATCATATTACCCCTGTACAAATAAGACCTCATCTGGAATATGCAGTTCAGTGTTGGGCACCAATTCACAAAAAGAACATTGGGGAACTTGAGAAAGTACAGAGAAGGGCAACTAAACTGATAAGAGGCATGGAGGAGATCAGCTATGAGGAGAGATTAGAGGAACTGAATTTATTCTCTCTTGGGAAGAGGAGATTAAGGGGGGATATGATCAACATGTATAAATACATCAATGGTTCATATAGTGAACTCAGTGTAGAGCTATTCACCCTGAGGACATCACAAAGGACAAGGGGGCACTCTTTACGTTTGGAGAAAAATAAATGTAATCTCCAAACACGGAAAGGCTTCTTCACAGTGAGAGCTGTGAAAATGTGGAATATAGTCCGTCAAGAGTTGGTTCTGGCCAGCTCAGTGGATTGCTTCAAAAAAGGCCTGGATTGTTTCTTAGATACACAGAATATAACTGGATACTAACATTTATAGGTAAAGTTCATCCAGGGAATATCCGATTGCCTCTCAGGGCATCAGGAAGGAATTTTTTTCTCAGCAGGAGCAAATTGGATCGTGCTTTGCTGGGTTTTTTTGCCTTCCTCTGGCTCAACTGTGGGTATAGTTTCTATGGTTGAACTGGATGGACTTTTTTTGAGCCAGACTAACTATGTAACCTTCCATAATGGATTACCCAGCTCATTATTGTCAACCTCATCAGAAAATCTTGTCCCATTGTTTGCTAGGACAGTGTCTGTGGAGAGACCACATACATGCAAGTGGTTACACTCCACAGGACCTTCCTGAAGTTTCACATCACCTCCTGTTGTTCAACACTCCATACGTGACTGTCCTACCAACTGATCTTTTTCAACACAATTTTTTACATCATTCTATTTTACCACTTCTGTTTCCTTTTGTACTTTAACAAATACCTCTAACCTGTCCAACAGTGCTCCAGAGAGCTTCTCATACACAACACTGGTAGTAAGCAATCTAACAATGCACTGTCAGACAACATTCAACATTATCACAAAACATTGCATCACATACTGTCATTCCATTCTTGGCAACCTCTGCCTAGTACAGTCTGTGATATCCAGCTCCAGTTAGTAATACACTGTGGTATGAATACTCCTGACCCAGGAGAAGACGGCAAGATATACACCTGGTGTACATTCTAACATTTCTTTCAGCATGTCTGTCTTAACAAGATATACTACACCATTCATTTCCTTATGTATTGTGAGCATAACTCCTGCTGTGCGTTTGCGCTCACTCGGTCCTTCAGACATGATAGGGTTAACATCTGCTGCAGCCAACGTGCCCTTGACTACAGGCTGCTCTACAGTCCCTTCTTCTGACACAGCAGCAATAGTGTCCACCTCACTATTACCTACAGAAGCTTCTCTCAGTAATGCTATTAGCCTCTTGGCTCAATAGTCTCAATCAAATGTGCTCCATTTGCTGGTGCTCCACAACACTGCACCTGCCCAAGGAAACACAGATGGACCAAGGGGCTCAAGAGCATTTGCCACATTACACTTGTCCATTTTAACATTACATTGCAGTACCACATCTTCTGACATAACTGGTTACAATACCACATTTTCACCACAGTGCACCGGCGGCACTTTACTCTCAACGCAGGATTTTGCATTTTCAACGTTAGCAGATTGGAATAACGAATATTTACCTCAGCATTGTTCAAATTCATTAATAAGCCACATATTATCACATTGAGTTTTCTGACTCGTCTCCCTGCTACACAGTACACTGCATGAAGACAAGACATTAACAGTCCTCAGTCTTGCTGCGGATTCAGCATTAACCCGTGTTACCACACTACACAAGGTACAACACAGCATCAAGTCCGTTTTGGAAGTGGATTTCCTCGCCCGGACTTACCGCCACTTCATCGAGATTATTTGGCATACCCAGTCTCTCATATTTATATCAGCAACAGTCTTACCACTCCACTTGGCAGGTACTGCAATCTTCCTTTGCGTGCGTCGCCTCAGGAACCATTCCTCTGAGGCACTTTCCCTGGCAAATTTCCCCATGTGGCCACAGGGTGAAACAACAGATGCCCTCCTAGGGATCACAGACTCTCGGACATCCCAGCCCTCTCCAGACTTGATTGTTGCTTTATACCTGTCTTAGTCATCATGGTCACAGCCCATCAAACATCAGATTTTCTGGAAAGGCTGTAATAATTCAGCCCAGTGACCTCTGGGCTAAGCTTTAAGTGAAGAAACATTCTCATACTCGGCTAAAAAGTCCTCAATATGATCAGTAGGCAGCATAACGAAAACACAGCAAACTCTGTACTCCTGCGCTTTGGGATGGACTCGGCTAGAGTTATGGTAACATCGCATATAACCCTACAAAATGCACTCCTTGCTGCCCTCAACGAACCAGGGTAGTCCAATGTCACTGGATACAAAGAAAAACAAACAGAGGGCTAGTGCATTATCGTAAAAAATGTATTGGAAGGATAAAAAGTAAGTATCGTACTCACAATAGGCAAACAGGTCAAAGGCACATCACACTAAACAGCGTTGTCCAATCCACATTGCATATAAGTCCAAAAAAATGGAACCCTGGACTTCCAACAGGCTAACACGTTTCGAGGTCTCAACCTCTTCCTCAGAGCTACCAGCATTACAGATTGCCCCTTTGTGTGGGCAACAACACCC